ATAAGTAATTTCCATTATTTAGTATAATTACTTTATATAAATACAAATAATTTTTAGAAAGTATAAAATGTTACTAAAAGTTTTTGAAATTTTTGTGTATATTTTTGATAATTTTAGGATGTCCCGCCAGACTATGAAACAATTGGTACCATATTTGGTTATGCATTATTGGTGCTTTCGTGGATTCTTATTATACTCACTTTTCCATTTTCAATGTGTGTTTGCTTGAAGGTAAACTTTGCCTTGCTAATACTCAATTCTTAGAATATATTGAAAAATTAGATCATTTCTAAAATATACTTCTTTCTTTCGTACCAAATTCTATTACTAATGGAATAATTTGTATATTAATATGCAGTGATAAATTTGATTACTAACAATGTCTTCGCGGATTCAAGTTCAGCAAATTACAGTCTTAAGAGGTTAGAAGTAAGTTTGCATTTTAGGTCATTAAAGAATATGAAAGAGTAGTAATATTCCGGATCGGGCGATTGGTATTTGGAGGTGCTCGTGGACCGGGCATGATTTTTGTTATACCTTGCATTGATACCTACAGAAAAATCGATCTTAGGTTACTTTACTTATTTTACCTCAATTAATTAATTTTATATACTTTATTTTATATTCCATTACATCATTAGATTCTGATTATTTATTTAAAAATATACATTTTAATTGATGAAACTTGAAAGCAACTTGTTTCTCATGTACTGAATAAAAGACAAATTGATTATAATTTGAATACAAATTTTCGCTTTTCTTTGGCAAACAAAATACTTATTTACTGTAAAATTTAAATTTAAATTTATATTTTAGAAAATAAAATTTATAAATATTAATTATTTAACTTTATCTTTCATAAAAATGAATCAGATTACAAAATAAATTAAAATATCGGAAATAAATGCATTTCTTATCAATTATGTTGTTGTAAATTTGCAATGATTAATATTGATACGCAAATAATTATTAGAGCAAGCAAATAACAGCAAGTAAATAATTTGGAGTTTTAAATCGAAAAGCATTTTAATATTTCTTATTGACTGATTGAAATTAATTAGTTCACCTGAATTGACTCAAAATTTATTAGATCTGAATTTGTTTGATCGAAGTAAACGTTATTTCTTGCGTGCAAAGAAACTTAAAAACCAATACTAAATTATTTAATTTTTGATTTGAAAAAATTCGTCTGCTCAAAAAAATTATATTAATTAGTTTTTTTTTTTTTGAAAAAAACCATTTTTGAGTAAAATTCCGCTCAAATTATCCAACTTTTAGTCGAAAAATTTTAAATGACTTCAGTTAACAACTTTAGAAGGCATCTTAAATTAAATTGTTATAGTCATAATAATAATTATTATTACCATTACTATTATTGTTATCTTCAGATATTCCAATTACTCTTGAGAATTGTATTGGTTAATTTAAAATTTTAGCAACAGATCTTAGCCACTAATTAAGTTGTATTTAAATGCAAATTTTAAGTCATACTCAACTGACTGCAAATTATAAAAAATGACAAAATGAAATTAAAAATAGCTTTCAAAAAATGAAATTCTAATTAATTTAATAAGAAGAAAGTTTGCTTTCTG